CTCTATTCGCATGCACTTGGTAGAATCAATTACACGTAGTCCTAGCTTGGACTTTTACATTATAGCTTGCCTTTAAATTTTAATATTATTCCCAATGTGCACCCAGTTTTATTCTCACGTACGACAATAAGCGCCGATAAGACTAAAGCCAAACAATTATTTTAACTTGTATTTTAAAAAGGATTCACATAAATCAAACAGGATAAAAGATATTTTTCAAGTTTAAGATTTGAAACTCCATAAAATTAGTCTACATGCTTGTCACTTTTACTTCATGTATATATTTTCTTTAATGTTTGTACACTATTCTTTAACCAATTGACAGTGGGTTAGAAGGTATAATTTAGATTTTTCAACTGTACTTTTATGTATGTTCATGATACGGTAAGAAAACACATGAATATGGTTTGGTTAACACAGGAATGAAAGCCGGTGAGGAACCATTAGAGGAGATGAATTCCATGGACGATGATCTCATGACCCTGCTCAACAACTTCCCCTTATCAATGCCCCTTCCTGAGTGGTACCCCGGAAACAGCGAAATTTCGAACGGATCATCAACCACCATGACAGGTGGCAGCAATGTAGACACTAACCATCAGCAAAATGCTGCAACTACCATTGCTCCACCCTCAGTTGCCTCCCCGGACCTCCAGTGGTCTCTGGGTTCCTGCGGCTGGAACAACATGCCCAGCATTTGCTAAGCTAAGCATATATCATATCCTTGCAGAGACCAGGAGTAGCTAGAATCAGCAGTGTGTTCTAATCGTTTAATTACTTTTTTTTTTTTTCTAAAGTTTAATTTTACTAAGCAGTCAATTCCATTTAGGTTTAATTGTGTGATCGCGTCTTCTGTTGAACTATAATGTTTACTTGTATGTAGCTTTATATATTGGCGGCCCCGACTAGATGACTAATTTTATGATCATGTATATACCGATCGTCAATCTAGAATATAGTTTTTAACTTTCTAGATATTTTTTTAATGGCTGTTTTCGTCTACTTCTATATCCTGGTTTAATATAGAAGGTAATATGTTGAGACAATCTTTATCTTCTACAAACCAAATTTTTTTTTTTAAATGTCGTACAAGAATGACGAACCCACTTGTCATCGCCTTATACCGGAATCTCGCTAAATGTAGTGCATACATGGCTAATTTTGGAGGTGGCGAAAGAAGGAAGAGAAAGATAGCTCTTAAAATAAGAAATGTTGTGACGACCTTTGAGCTGGCTTCAAATTTTTGTCCTCGAAACGCTTCTATTTTTTGAGC